AACATTTTTCATCAATTTACTAGCAAATTACACAATATATGCAACCCAAAATATGAAGAAAAGTGCAGAAAAGTCAGTCTTGACACAACAGATCCTTATTCCATCCCATCAGCAAAGACAATTCCACTAGATGCCTGTAAATTAGTCAACATTGCAAATGGAGAACCTGAGTTAGGCCTACAAACCAACGTTAAAATCCCATAGGTTGAGAATATAGATATGGTAAATTATTTAGTCATGACATCATCTTTTTACACCGGAAAGTAGTTCAAGGCCCATAAAAGCCTTGATGCTAACAAGTATTATGTGGTCAGCTGGGTTCAGAGTGTCAGACTGTGGGAAATGTACAAGACGTCTAACTACATAGCTTACTTGAGAGTAATTCGAAGTTGTTTTTAGTAACTAGGCCTATTCTTTATGTTCTATCAGTGGTAAATTTAAAATCTAAATATACTAAATCATATTGTATTGCATTTTAAGTCCTCCTGTCTTGTAAGACTACTTTCTTTAGTACACATTATTATATTTTTTCACAAATAAACCCTGGATTTTAAGACCATCTGTCTTGACAAACCAAAGTTTTGACAAAACTTTATTATTTCCCACTGGACCCTTCCACTTAGCACTGCTTGTATCAAAGTATTGAGATTATGTGAAGCACCAAATATATATATAAAATACTGATTGTTATCAAAATCTGTCCAATATAATTGTGACAAGGTACATTGTACATACCAGTAATACTAACTAGATATAAAATGGGAACTGCATAGTCTATAGTATTACAATGGTTTCCAAGCCTTGTCCTGTTCGGGTCTGCAATTGTTACTGTCACAATCCATTTAACTCTATGTACTGGATCTTTTAGAAACCTATAAAACGATAACTCAGAATTCTTTGTCTGGTTGTTTTTACAACTAACTGTTGCACAGCTGATTATCATTTCAAATACTTGATCTCAAATTTTAATACCAGTAACTACACTGTGATTACTAGATTGTCTCTGCTACGTCAGGAATGGCAGTGTTTACTTTTCACCTTCCAAGATTTGTTTTTATAGATACCACTAAATATGCAGTACATATTTACTAAATTAGATTTTCTTACTCACTGTTTATGCCTATTTATTCAAGTTTAATTGGTAAAACTGGTGTTATGACTTTCATGACAAACTTAACATGGTTGTCTTAAGCTTTTCAGAATGATGAGAATAATAAATTATTAAGAAAGAAATATATATTTTTTTTAGAAAAAAAGGTTAAATACTAGAAATATTCTATATTTTATGTCTCTTCTTATTCTAAAATATTTATACTACACATAAATTCTATACTAAAGAAAACTCCAGTCAAATTAGTTTGGACTACAGAACTGCACTCTTATTAAAGACTTCACGCATTATTTCACATCTTTCGCTATTATCTGAATACCTTTTGGTGTTATAAAGTTATCTGCCATTTTCAATTGACATAATTCATAACATTACAACTTTTGAAAAGATAAAGGATAAAAACCTTACTAAAATTAACAACTCAAACTTAAAGTGAGTATGATGAAGCTTCTAAGTCAAAAAATAAGATTTCAGTTTGGTACAACTTTAAAGGAGGTACAGATTACTTGGTAAAAACCAAACCTAGTCTATACTTCTATGTCATTTCGAGTTGTCAATAAAAAACAAGAGCATTCAAGGCATTTAATGGATTTTCTACCATTATATAATGTTCTTACATTTAAATATACAGTAACTAAAGTACATTTGGCTCACCTATCATAATGGATACAAAATATTTTTTACTGCAATATAAAAATGTTGAAAAAATGGTAACTGTGCAATCAGTTGTTCTTTAAAGTATGCATGTTACAAAATTTTTCAAATTCTGAAAGTATAGAAGGAAATATTCTATTATGTTGTTGGAATGTTGTTTCGATGAGTTAAGATAATTATCTTTCCTTACTACATGTAATAATTGTATACCACAAAAAATAATAATTGCCTTTGTTGTAAAAACAAATAGTACACTGTCACCAAGTGATGAGCAAGATTTTCAAGAATGTGAACCCGTTCTTGAACTTTAAATTTGCCCTTCTTTGGCTTACACATGATTACTGCAATCAAGATTGTTGTAACTTCTTATTTTTCTTATTTTTTGTTACTCTTTGCATTGTTACAGTATAAGATATACTAACCTTTCAATATATGTTTCTTGTAAATGTCTGACCAATGAATTGGCACTTTTAGGCCTCAAAATATTACCAAGTATTTTAAGCCGAAGCCATAGTTATTCAATAATTTTTAGATGTATATAACATTACTAAAGTACACTTGCATGACAATACTAACCAGCTACTGAAATAGCTTATTAAAATTTCTATTAATAATAGCTTTGTCATTTTACTCTTAATTTCTCATTGGCTCAGTAAGTTGTTTGTGATGCTCGAAGCAACAGTAACAAGTTTCACTGACTAGTACATTTTCAGATACACTTCTTATATAATGCCAATAGAAAAACCAATTACTTTAAAACAAAATCAATGCTGCAAAATGGCAATCAACAGTTAAAAAAATAATTCATTAGTTGCAATACTTTACAAAAATTTACAGAGCTGTGCAAATATACATCATTTTATGGGAAATTCATGATGTTTGAAGAGGATGCAAGATAAAAAAAACATACCTAAATCTCAATTATAGATATATAGAACCTGCTATAAACCAAGGGTTTTCAAAAGGAAGGAATGACTGCCTTCCAAAAGTGCTTGGATCATGTTGGAGTTATGTGACTGTAGTTTTTATAAGGGAAACTACTTTTTCAGGTTATCAAATGCATATTTCAGACAGTGAAGGTAATATGAAGTATTTCAAATCAAGAGAAAATCCCAACATTACACAATCACTACAGCTCCAGTTTGTAGAAATGTTCAGTTAAAAACATTGATTATTAAGCATTTGGTAATTTGATTTCAGGTACCTGAGGTATTACATCCATTTCATAACTGCTGAAAATCCTTTTTGACAAAGGTGACTAAGTAATCACTTCATACCCTTCATGCAAATGACTGTTCTTTAAAGAAATATAGCACAGTTGATAAATTGATGATGTAGTCTTAATGTGCATGTGGTGAATAACAACAAAGCTCCTTTACTGTCATTTAAGCTGACACACCTAACTATGCCAAGTATCATCTCTGCAAAAACTTTACATGTCAACAGAAATAGTATGCGTCTTGTGGGTAAACAGATCGAGTACCATATCATACATATACTTTTGTAACATTAACTCTGTCACATATTTTACCCTTTTTTTATAAAACTATTTAGTTAGGGGAGTGGGATCATGTCTGATTAAAATAAGTTTTTCTTTTTAACAAGCTGATGGCTGCTTGACAGTTAAAATAGTAACCGATTCACACTGATCTCCTGCAATGTGCAGAAAAACTAGAAATATTTTATTACAGATTATAAGTATCTTGCACACAAAGAATGATATTATTCTAATTAAGTTTTTTCTACTAAAAATATATTATCTATTAATTGTAGTTATCAGACTCTGAATAATTTGAGTGCAAGTGATTTTCATTTTAAGTATAAAAATACTTTTCTTCATCTTACCATTTGAGTTTTATTTGCATAACCTCTAGAACTTCATAATGAATATCAGAAGTCTTTTTAGGGTAAATCTTTATATTTTATTATTCATTTTCTCTACCATATCACCAACTGTAGATATCATCATCAATATACAGTGCAATGAAATGTTTAAAATTAAGAAACAGAAAAATGTACAAATCTTTTACTTTTTGTTAGAGTATCTTAAAAGATCTTTTTTTGGTGATACTTGTAATTTCAGGCAAAATTACCTTACACGTGTGCAAGATCGTAAGCCTTGAGAACTGGGGCAATGTTTGAGATAAATTTAAATAATTTTTAAACCTTTCAATTATGCATTTTAAAATATAAACAATACATAATTAACTAAGATATAAAGTAAAACCTAAATGCAATTTAACTCTCTATCTAACCATAACATACTTAGGTAAGAAACAACCGTCAGTGTTATCGTGAACAAAACAGCTAACAATACTACCAGCAGTTATATCTACCTAACGATGACAACTGAGAGCCAATTTCAAAATAACTATTGCTAGAATATAATGTAAAATGTGCTCTTTTTAATGACTATATACGCATGTGTCAAGTAACTACATGTGACTTGTAAAGCTCAAGGAATAGTATAGAAGGTGAGTGTGGCACCTGTCAGGGGTTAGAAAAATTTATCTATAGTTTCAACAGAAGTCAGCCAAAGAACTTTGTAACATATGTGTCAATAGGGCAAGTAAACGTACTTATTGTCTACACATATTCATACCACACTGGGGTTATCATATTTAAGATAGTGTGTGTGTGTGTGAAAGTTGAGATATTTCATAGCTCATGGGTCACTAAACTGAAGTTTAACTTGTTTTTTAAAGATTTTTTTTTCAAACAAAGGAAATAAAACTTAGATAACATGAAGCTTTGAATTATAACATATATTATAATGTTAATTTCATTGACATACATTGATAGTAAAGATGTTTAATTAAATTTTGAATGTAACTCAGTGGCTTGCATAGAAAGGGATTTAAAGGGGTACTCACTACAAAAGGGTTAATCACCTTTCAGTATTAAAGGATTTTGTAATATTATTTGTCTTAAATAATTACAGCTCTAACAGAACAGCAATGCCTATGTTATAATATTCCTGAAATATCAAAATTTTGTATTTTATTTTGCAGAATTTATTCAAAATAACAAGTGGTTGAAAAAAAACCAGTAATAATGTATTCACCTTTGAATTCCAATACTAACTATTACTTACAAACAACACACTGTTAGCACAACCAATAAATAAAAATTTTAAGTACATATACTTTAATTTTATAAGTGTTTATATGATTAAAACTTTTCAAAATAAAACTAATAAAGTAGAAGATCACAAATGGTTTCTCACAGTTCTTACCTCCATTTCCCACCGGCCAAACCCCATGATGTCTTCTTTCACTATTATGGGTAGTGGATCCAAACGTCCTGTCGAAATTTTTTAGTGTCAAAGTTACTTGAACATATAAGTTTCAAAATAGTCCTAAGATGTCTTGTTAACCGGAGTTATAAAATAAATTTGTAAAGAAACATGCATAGAATTATTAACTAAATCTGAAATCTGTTTGTGTATATTTAAATGTTCTCAATATTTTTCATCACTTTTTTCTCTAGGTTGGTTTACTACAAATGTATCGAGGTTGCTACTCTGTGCAAATATGAGCTTTAGCTTGCCATATAAAAATTAAACCTTCACTCTCCCATGCCTTTCACTAAAACCATCAGATCTAGTAACTCAAGATTATCCAAAGTCTGCTCATATGAAAAAACAAAAATGGAGATGAAGTATAATACTTCAGATTTGAACATTCTTATTAAATTCATTGTATTTGGTAGCAGATTAAAAAAAATAATGGAAGGGCACAGAACTTAAAGCACATGAACACTTTGAGAAATATTAGACTGCAAAAAACCCTCTAAAGAATTTATAAGATTTTGTCAAATTTTAAAGATAAATTACAGTAATTCTTAATAACCATGGCTGGAATATACCATTATAACTTTAAGACATTTCTGAGGGGTATTGAGATGTCAGGCATTTAGCAACATAAACCCCATAAGAAATGCAATTTTTTTGTGGCTTCTGGCCTTCCATTGGGCTAAAGTTTTCTTTATTTGTATGCTTGTTTTCTTAATGAGGTATTTCAATAGACATAGGAAGGTTGCATTTATAACAAAGTTCTAAATATGATGAGGTTCCAACTGTACTACTTATTGTTTATCTATTACTGTAAGAAAGTTAACTTCAAGAAACAATGATAACATTGTTTACACTAGAATTATGATTTTCTTACAAAAATTACTACTAGTTAATAATACTTATAAAAGCGGATACTCCATTTGAAACTATGCCACATCAGTGAAATTGGTTGGCACCACGCTTTTGGTTTTTGAGTTATGTAATAAAAAAGAAGCAGAAGAAAGAAGAACAAGAAATTCAAACAGACAGATATTTACACACATTCCCAGAACTTGCAACTCAAATTTTTATATAGATATTGTTATAAAAGAAAACGCTGTATAGTACTGTAAAGTTCTGATGACCTATTGAGGAGATACTTAAAATACCACTTCGATGAACAATCGAAGCCATTCCTGATAAAATAAAATATAATTAGGCAATCATATTACAAAAAAAGATAACAGAAATTAACTTTTTATAGTAGTATGAAACAACAAATAACATGAAAAAAAAGTTTAAAGCCTCTAAAGACAAAAGATTAATGGTAAAATGTATAGATTGACAGAAACAGATTTTGCATAGAAATTTAGCAGAAGATACTAAAATATGACAAAAAACATCATCAAAGGATAGCCTGAACAAATAAGTTTCTCCCATTCCACACAGGTGAATAAAAAACACTTGTTTGTGTGATTTTGAAGCACATATAACAAATAGTTTCTCTAGGTGAAAAAGATAGATGTATTTCATACAAAAATATACTATCACACAAGGAATCAGGTGAATTGACTGTAATTCTAGACATTATAACCTGCTGGAGTAAAAGAAGTCATACATACACAACAGCCTACTAGTTCTGACGCGGAACCAGTCTGTTTGGAGTAAGGACCATCCTAACTCACAAAAGTAACAAATGGAAAAAAAGCAATATATATATATATACATCCATTTACATATCTGAATGTTAAGTTCTTCAGGAAAACTAAACAGTATTTCCTACAAAAGGATATATGAGTATCACATAACATACCAATACTAGTTACAAAGCTTGGGTAACACTTTAGTATCTATAAACTTTAAAGGAAGATCAGAACAGATGTGACAAAAATTAATCACATAATCTTGATATAGCAAATGTAAAATAAAATTTTTTCACAGAATACTTTCACTAAAAAGGTTGAAAGCAACTGAAAAGATGGCTGAAAAATAAAGCAAAAAGTGAAGTTGATAGACCACAAATTTCTTTGTTGAATTTCATGCAAAGCCACTCAAGAGCTACATACAATAGATGCCCTTCATTTAGAAGTGATACTCTACAGAGAAGGCAGCTATTCAACCACACACCACAAATTCTTGGACTATTCTTTACTAACAAATTGCGTGATTGACTGTCACATTAAAATGCCCTCACAGTTGAAAGAATGAACTGAATTTGCGACAGGATTCAAACCTGTCACCCTTAGACTGCAAATTCAGCACCATGCCAGGCCCTAAGAAATTAACTTTCTGTATCAGAAAGACAGGTCTTCCAGAACCTCTGTGAAGTAGTTAAGTACTCACGATGAAGAATCTTACAGAATGTTTTCAAGTCTGTAAAACTGGTCACTGTATCAGAAAAATTATATATACACAGTAAATAATGCCAAATTTATTCTTTGCAATAAAATGAAGAATACTGTTATGTTTCTTTACAGTAAAATACTTAATGTCCTTCAAAATGTTTCTAGGTTTTTCAAAAATCTTATGTGTAAGAAAGACAACAAACATAAATAAAAACCTATTCTTATAGTTATGCTTTGGAAGGACCCTTGCAACACATACATGTACAAGTAAACTAACCATCAGTCTTTCTAGAGCACAGTGTTTGGAAATTTCAAAATCTATAGCAAAGTCATGATCTTTGAAAGAAATAATGACACCCCATGACATTCAGTTACATAATATGCAACCACAATTGTATATCAAAACACAATGACTTTCCACGTCATTTAAAACTTAATACAGTAGTGCACTCAAAATACTTTTTTACTCATAATCACACTAGTACTTTTGTGCTATGTACTTTACTTTTTCCATCAGCATCTTAAACAACACTGAATCACAGTTCATAATGCTTATGAATTACTATAATATATAAAGTAATGATTAAAATGGAAAATATCTTAAAAGTGTATTCCATCTAATAAAACCAACCAGATTTAGATACTGACTAAACAGAATGATCATTCTTTTATTTTCAACTAGCGTAAAATAACCATGCTCCACTGCGATTCTAAGGCCCCCATATAATTCACAGTGACCTCAATGTACCAGTCAAGCATCTCGAATATTTTAATTATTTAGCTACCTCAATGCACCAATTCTTTAATTGATTTGTCTGTTGTCATTTCCCAAATTTAATTCAATTCATCTATTTTTAAAAGCAAATAATTTTATTTTGGCTTCTCAGATTTGTTTTTCTTCTTTAGTTTTTACTTGAATTATTTTCATTCTCCAATTCATATTTTTCTTTCCATTGTTTGTTGCCGTTCCCCAAACTTAGTTCAATTCAATTATTTTTAATTCTCAGGTTTGTATTTTTCTTCCCATATTTGTGCCAATATTCTTTAACTGTTTTGTTTGATGTCATTTCCCAAAGTTTATTTATCTAAACCTTTTCTAGTGTTCTGAGGGCCTTTTCCATGGGTCCTGGGAGGTCCTGATGCCTTTGTTCCCTCCTTGTTACCTTTAACAGGCTAAGAAATGTTTGATCCCATACCATATTGAATTTTGTTCATTTTTTACCAAAATATGTCCATTGTTCCCAATTTTCAGCAGACTTTCTGATCATTTTGTTCTTTTTCAACAGTATTTGGCAGAAAACCTCCAACCTGAGAATTAGACAAAAAGTGATACTTTTCTATAGACCTTTAAGAAGTAGAATTATGGGGTTTAAGGGCTATAGAGCAAAAAATTGGCCCAAATTTTTTAGTCAAATCTAAAAAATAATACCCAGGTACACACCCTGAGAATTCCCTTGGTATGCATGCAAAGTTTCAGGTCTCTAGGTTCTTTCCTCTTGGATCTATAGAGGTCACACACACACAGACATATTCTTTTATTATTATAAATGAGATTTATGTAATACTAGCAAAAATACCCAGCTTTGCTCAGGTTATTAGATTGATATATTTTAGATGAATATGTTATAGATAATTATAGATGACACTATACGTCACATTATGTAACCCATATAAAAGCCAGTGTGTGTCACATCATGCTTGATTTTAAACATAAATTGCTTCTGAATTAAGGTATATTGTATTTAATAAAAACAAACCTCTTTAATCAATGGAGACTCTAAATTAAGAAATCAACAAATATTTTTCCATTTTTATAGTATATACATTTCATTTTATACTTTTGGTACACAAATTAACAACAATATTAGGTTGTACTTTTGTTGCTTATAATGCATTCCAACATGACATAAAAGCCATTGTTGGAATGCATTGTTACCAAAATGCACTGGCTTTTCTACATATTAGTTGTTGTTATGTAAGGAAAATTTTCTTTGCTATGTGGTTTTTCACTAGCTTGCCTTGTTAAAAAGATGTACGCACATGGATAAGTAATAATACCCAGGTGCACACCCTCAGGGTCCACTTAGTATGGGTGCAAAATCTCAGGTTTCTAGGTTCTTTCCTCTTGGGGTTATGGCGGTCACATTTCTTTTCTAAGTGGTTTTTAGTCAAAAAAGATGCACACGCTCATGCTCGTTGATAAGTAATAATACCGAGGTGCAAACGCTTGGGGTCTACTTAATATGGGTACGAAATTTCAGGTTACTAGGTTCTTTGCTCTTGAAGGTAAGGTGGTCACATATTCTTTTCTATATGGTTTTTTTTTGCTTGCTTACCTCACAAAAACACGCACATGTGTGGATAAGTAATAATACCCAGGTGCACACCCTCAGGGTCTATGTAGTATATGTGAAAAATTTCAGGTTTCTAGATTCTTTGCTCTTGGAGCTATGGCAGTCACACATACAGAGACTCACAGGCACACCCTTTTATTATTATAGATGTAGAATTAACTGTCTGGTTTTTCTTACAAACATAGTTCTATGAAGTAAAATGTCAGGAAGTATATATCCAAAGGAAAATACATTTCTTATCTATATAGTGACTTAAAATGCAATGTCTTTTATTGGTTTGAATCACTTAATAATATCCACACAAAAACATTAGTGGAATCTGAAGAGTCA